AAATTTGCGTGAGCTACGAGTGCCTCAGGCCGCCGCGGATTATTCTCCATTCTGGATTGACTTCCCCACCAATGGATTTTGTTGGCTGACGTGATCTCTTTAGGATGCTTCAGGAACTGGACAGACCACCTCAGGAGTGCGGGTATGGCCTCAATTGCTCCCTACCATTTTCTTCCCCCTCCTGCCATCGCACCCTTGACTTTATTCTTTTTTTCCCCCCCCCCCCTCTTTTCTCTCAATCTGCCTCCCCTCCTTGCTTTGGAATAACGCACTGAAACAAAAATACAAAAAAGAAAGAAAGGAAGAAAGAAAAACGAAAGCGGAAACCCTGCGCCCTTCTGGCTCTCCTACTTCCACACGGTCCCGCCAAGAAATCCTGCCCAATTCGCCCACCGAGAACTACACGGGAGGCCGCCGGCGCGGCGGCGAGCGAGGGCGACCTGCCGTCGGCGCGGCGGGACGGCACGGCACGGCACGGGACGGGCGGCAGGACTTGCCCTTCGCTGCGAAGGCCCCTCGGATCCGCCGTCGCCGCGAGGCTTCCGTCCGCCGTGTAGTTCTCGGTGAGGGAACCGCTTTTAGTCAATAATCCGCGGATTCTTTTTAGTCTGCGGACTAAAATGTAGTGCACGGACTAAAAGCCGGCCCATCAGAGCGAAGTCTAGCTCGGTCTAAAATACACCTGGGTGAAAGCAAAAGGAAAATGAAAAGGAAAAAAAAAAAAAAAAAAGGAAAAAAGCTAAGTGCACAAAGTAAAGTGTTTGGGCGGACTAACATTTAGTATGCAGACTAAATATGGCCGGGCAAAATGCACAGCAATGCCACAAACAAAAATAAAACACTGACAGGAACTTTTAAAGCAATCAAGTACTACCCCACCTGCGCAGCAGTTCATTTTTCTAAAATGAAACAAGACCTTTTTGCAAGGGCTACTGGCCCGCCCGAGGGACTGAAGGCTCAAGCTTTCATTTTAAAAAATGAACCTGTTTTGGAGATAAACAAATGCAAAATAAACGCCTTTACATCCAACACTCTTCAAGGAAAATTTGCACTTGAGTAACTCAAAACCTCTCGTCTCTGCAAAGCAAATGGATTTCAGGCTGAGACCCACGTTGCAGGTTTTTTGGACGAGTGTCAAAAATCTGCGTGATCACGTAGAATGGAAATGCTGACTCATCCAAAACCACAACTTTTCATTATTTTCTTTTAAATGACTAACCCCTCCTCCTCCCCCAAATCCCAAGGGATGAGTACCTCACCGCAGGGCCGAGGGAGGGTGCAAGTCCCTCCTGTTTTCAGGCATTATCAGAGTTGTTGCTGCTTCCCCTCCTTTTCTAAGCTAGGCTGCTATCAGTCTGGTTTTTTAACGCAGGTTCCTCCTCATTTCTGAGGCACTACCACCACCTTCAGTGTGTTTTCAGAATAATTACCACGTTTAGGCACCTCTGCTACGCCACTCCCTTCCCATCCCCAAATGCCTTGAATTGGGATGAACTCTCGGTACACAAGCAGAGCATTCGTGTCTCATCTTAGTAAATTACAACAGTTGCTACTGGCCTTTTCTGAACTTGACCATTTTTCTGCATGGTTAAGGAGAAGGACGGAGAGTCCAAGCCACTCCTCTTGTGCTGTGCTCACACCAGCCCTCAGGCCCCAAACCAGCCCACGCAGGGCAAGGGCCGAGCGCCGTTTTAGCCAGGTCCGGCTTTCACCGGTGGCCGCTCTCCGGCCACACTTTCCAGGCACGACACGGAGCTCCGTCGTCTCGGCCTAACCAAGCCCAATGCTCCCCCGGGTTGCACCGTGGTGCTCTTCTCACCAGCGGGTATTTCAGGAGGTGACTGGATGCCCGCCGCCGCCGCGGCGCGTCTCGCGTGCCCGCCGCGGGCGCTGCCGGCGCGCCGCGCTCCCCGAGCGAGCAGGGCCTTTACTGAAGTGACATCTGCTGCTAACACATCAAGTTGATGACACCGCAGTTAAAAATTGCCTCGCCGGCTCCGGAGACTCGTGTTTTGCCAAGAACCACCCACAGCAGCGCTTCGGGCTGACAGTCTGGGCGCATCTCCGCTCGGGCTGCAAGCGCGTTTTTGACGGCACATGCCCCAGACAGGGGAAGGAAGGAAGGTGATTAAGTCTTTTTTGGAAATATTTCAATATTAGGTAACAGGGAAAGCTCCTCCCTTCAAGCAACAGCTTGCCCTGGTTACCGGTGATCAAAGCTGTCAGGCACAGGACATGACCCTTAAAGCTTTTTTTTCTTTTCTTAAATATAATCACACAATAGAATTAGTGTCACCTTAGGACATGAAGCAACATTTCAATTGCACAAGTTTCACATAATGAGCCTTAGGATAATCAAGACACATTCATTTAAAAAAAAAGAAAAAAAAAAAGAGTAAAGGAAGAGAGACACATGGAAGAGAGTAATGTTAGCACTGAGCTTCACCTGACCCAAGGCAACGCAAAGCTCAGGCAGAAGCTCTGCCCTTGGAATAAATCTTGTTTTCAGAGTTTAAGAATTTGAAAGCAGGTTTTCTGAAGTACTTGATGTTGCTATTCTGAAGCGCATAAAGCTCACTGCTATTGGGAGTAATTTTAACTTGTATATAATCCCTCCCCTCACCACTTCCCCCCTGATTAAATCTACCTCCCCCCTATTTTTCTAAAGAGCATCACAGAAAGAGCAAGTGCTTTGCCAGTCCTAAAAATCCCTGGCAATAGCACAGACAGGGAAAATGAAATAAAGACAGAAGGGTTAAGTGGCTCACAAATGAGCCAACGCTGAGCTGGGAAGGGAACCAGAAACCTGTCTCCAAAGCTATGTCTTGTTGAGACCACACACTCGTTACTGGGCTGCTTCCATTGAGCACTTGCTGAAAAGAGAATGAACTGAAATTTGCTGCCCTGCGCATGCCCTGCGTCTAGGAAGCGCTAAAAGAAGGCAACAAAGCTAAGCAGAGCTCAGCAACTCCCTTTCTTCTCCAGGAGAACCCCCCAAGAACATCTACCGGCCAGCCTCCAGGACAGCCGGCACGGCGGGGCTGCAGCGCCCTGGCCAAGCAGGTGGCTCGCTGCAGAAGACAGGTCAACGTCGCCGTGCCGTTGTCAACACCGCTGCGCTGCTGCGAGGTGTTTCTCAGTGCTCCCGAAGGCTCCCTGATTTGCTGTTAGGCTGCACTTTCTTTACTGCCTTCAAATTGAGCGGAGGCAGGTAACTCCTCACCCGACAAACCTGGCTTCTGTTCTCATGAGCGAGGCGGAGATGAGAGATTTCCAGTGCCAGAAACCCCTGCTCTGAGACAAGGAGCTGGGAAACTTGGGACTTGCCAGACTGTTTCGTTTTGGGGAAGCTGCTCTCCAGCAGAGCCGCTTTCATTCTTTGCCTGAAAAGCCATCACGGAGCTGGTGGGAAGCGGGAGGATGGTGTTCCCGGGAGCGAAGCGGGCACACGGATTCCCCCGCGTGCGCCCCACGCCGGGACACGCGGCTCGGGCCCCCCACGCGGCTCCGCTCCCTGCTTGCCCCCAAACACTCCCTGAGTGGACGGCCACGGGATGGGAGCCCACGCCGGGCCCCAGTGCTGGCCTGGGGGCAGCTTTGGCAGCGACACCAACGCCGAGAGCGCGCGGCGGCGGCACGGCAGGCCCCGCTTCACCTCGCCTTTAAGCCAAGCATGCAACTGCACCCAAAGAGCTTGCCAGCCTCCGCTGTACCTTGGCAACCCTAGGAAAAAGTCAGGAGTCAGGCTCAGAAAGAAGAGCTTTTGTTTTTACTTCTAATGTGAGGATATTTATTAGACTGCCGATGAAAGAATTTTTATTTTCTTTTGTCATCAGCTATAATTAGAAGTGACAAAATGTGTTGTCTATTGATCCATTTTACTGTTTGGTATTCTTCTTCAAATCCGGAGTATGAGCAGGCACTTGGAGGCAATACAAGCAAAACAACCTGCTTAAAACCCAGGCAAGAACCGGGATGGCTGGGGTAAGACCCAAGATGTGAAAGAGGTTCTGGAGGGGGGCAAAAAAAAGGGCCCATGAGCGAGACCAGAGCCTGTGTTCCAAGCCCAGAGTGGGGAGAAGACAAGATTAGCTGCTGCTGTAGAAAAAATATAAGCCAAGGACCAGCCATTAGTAAGACGTATGCAAAATGTACACACATATGCAAGAGATACTTGGATGAAAGCATTTGCCAAAAATTTTATACTCATTCTCCACTTTATTTCTTGCAAAAAAAATTCTCCAAGACAAAATCCAAAGCTACTCTGTAATCCACGACTGTGGTTCCCCACAACCCTCCACCTGTAACCAGGCCCGGCCAACGGCTCTGGAGCAGCTCCAGGAGGCCTATGAGCTAGAGCTTGAAATTTCACCTTCATCTACAGTAGCTGAGCTTGGGGATATGGAGAGAAGAGCCCTTCCGACTGCAAAAATCCCGAAAGAGGGGAAGCTGGAGGGACCCTGCCCGCTCGGCTGTGCCGTGACGGAGACGTGAAAGCTCCGCGGAGGGAGGAAGCGCCAACACCCCCGGCGGTGTCACCGGGACAGGGGAGGCCGGAGCGCCCCTAGGTGATGGGGCGCTGGGAGACACGGGCTGCACCGCGCCGGGTGGCAACGGCTGCCCTGCCTGCACAACGGAGACGAGGCAGAGGGCACCAACGACCAGCTGCATCAGCCTCGGCTGACGGCACCAGTCGAGACGTTCTGCCACGGTGAACCACGGGCACGCTCGCAGCTCAGCAGGCAAGCCGGTTTATGACAGTGCCCACTTGTGACAAAGTGCAAAGGTGGAAAAAAAACAGGGTCGGAAAAATACACGGTCATCTCGGCCATGTAGAAGCGGCCTAAACTACCTGACTACCTTACATTTACTGCCAAGTGACTGAGAAGCTCTCCTAGCAAGGGTGGTGGGAGGAGGGAAGGGGGCGAGAACTGGCACGCCATGGGGCGACTGGCACCTTTCTGTGCACACTATCTGGGAAAGAATTGTGCTGGGGTCTCTGTTCACACAGCCCAAAGGGTTTGAAACACGCAGGCAGCATCTGAGCAACGCCAGGATATGGGCCTGCTGTAAAGGGCCCGTGATAAGCAAAGCAAAGCTAACAGCCTTATACATTTACACGTTCCTTCCCCCACCTCACTGCCCCACTCTCCTCCAAAAGGGCCAGAAGTTTAGGAGAAAACTAAAAGCACAACTTCAACAACCCTATCAAGTTCAATCTGGGATTCAACCTCGGATTTTCTTCAGTTTTCTATTCTCAAGATTATAAAATGAACAGATGAAACTTGTTCAGAAGACAAGAAAAAAGTTCAGAGATTAGTAGCAAAGAGCCGTTTGCTTTGAACGAGTGAGAAGCTCAAGGAGCTGACGTGTCTGAAACACACAGAGCAAAACTCTCATCTTGTAAAAACAGCAGCAAACGCTTTCCAAAGGGTCGTAGCTTTTATTGGACTGGCTGATACAGATGGAAAAAGAGGGCAGGCTTTCAGACACGAACTAAGATTGAAGACGAGATTGTGTGTCGAAAGCCTGTCCACTTTTTAGAAGTGCATCAGCTGAGCCCAAAAAGGATACTACTGTCCTCTCCAAACCTTGCTACCCTTCTAACTTAGTGCTCTTGGCAGATCAAGGCAGACCAGCAGTGGGATGCACCTCCGTGAGTACCAACTGGTCTATACTCGGTGAAGACAAAATGAGGTCTCGTCAAGAACAGTTCGATTCCTGGATTAAACAGCCCTCTCCTATGAAGAGAAATGCTCGAGAAGAAATTAGAAGTATCTCCTAATGAAGGGGCAGGGGAAGCAGGGGGAAGTCCAGTTAAGAAGAAACACTCCCAGAGGGTTTAGGTTTTCTTATTCTTTGATAGTGAGTGATGCACTGAATTACATGATGTTTTATGCTGAGAGACAGAGATTAATCCAGTGCAGGAGCACCTCGCTCTCAAATTGCCCATGGATTGAAGACGATCAGTCCACAGTGTAATCTCACCTTTTCTGCTGCAGCACAAAAGTATTTTTATTGTTCTCTTGGATTCCCTCCCAGTCTAAGGCGAAAGATCCTTGCTAATTTGAGATATCTTTTGTCACACTACTTTATCATATTAAATATTAATACTGTCTATAGACGACGCCAGTGCATTTCTTTTGAAAACTCCAAGCTCCATGTATGAAGGCAGACCACCACTTTCAACAAACTTTGCACTCAGAATCCAATCTAAACCTCAAGCTAAATCTGAGAGATTATCCACCCGGATGGAGTTGCCTTGCTCAAGCTGAAGGAATTTCTCCAAAACTGAAAAAGAAAACCATAGGCCTACAGTAAGAGTAAGTCATTGCTATTCATCTAGCAGACAACAGCAACCAGTTCACAGTGCTACTGGGGTATTCAGAAAGAAACCACCAACGCAGCCCGCTGCAAAATCCCCAGAGAGCAGAGTGGAAACAGGCACTTCCAAGAGAAGTCCACATGTATCTGCAGCAACCCTTTTCTCAAACATGTTGAGGACTGGCTGTCTGCAAGGTTTTCATGCAAAAAACCCACCTTCTAATCATCTGCTGGGTCCTCCCGTCTACTGAAAGAAAAAAAAAACAAACCCACAACCAAGCCTTCTAACTACTGTAATATCCAGTAATTTATTAGTTTACATGACAAAAAATTGTGCTTTGGGGACTGAATCTCCTAGCGTTCAAGTCCTGACACTCTAATTGCATGCTTTGTTACAACGAAGAATAGCTGCACTTTCAAACTGAGAGCCCTTCCTTGTGCTCTCATCACACTGGACCTCTGCTACCACCTCTGCCGGCTTCTAATCATGCTTTTCAGTCCTCAGATATAGAAACTCCAGGATGAAATGCATTCCTATGTCTCTGCCACTAGATTTTCCATCAACACAGCTGGGTGAGGAAGACCAGTTCTACATATTATTGCTATTTACTTAAATCTTTGATGGCCTAACATCAAAATGCTGAGAGAATTTTTAGAAAGAATACAGGGAGAGAACGAGCACTATGACCAGGATCTTACTGGATAATCCCATTTGCTAATGTAGTGTTTGAACAGTAAGCAAAGCACACATCTCCTAAGTATAACGCACCCCGAATGCAGGAACCCTGACCGGACGCTATACTGGCACGAGGAAGAACTGGCTGCAGAGCAAATGGAGAATAAGAAGCTGCAATGTGGCTCTCACAAACCATTCTGTGCCTCCCAACTCCTTATGGCTGACTTGGTTTCGCTTGTAACTCTGTGGAATGAGGAAAAAAGGCACTCCCTTACGCACAGGGTGCAACAGAAGCAATGTGCTTGCTCCATGAGGCCACGTCTGCTGGAAGGACAGCAGGACATGAAGGGTGTACGGATAATCCTGAAGACTCCTTGTGTGGAAGACAAATTGCAGAGCCAGCTTAGATGTTTAACTCGTATATTATGGAACATCTTAGCACCTCTCTATCACTGCATATTGACTTAAACTCCCTGAATTCAGAACACCTTCACAGAAAGGATTCAGATGCAATGCTAGAATTCACTGCTATAAGGCTTGGGGTTTTATTTTGCAGCTACTACCGGGATAAAATCTGAAACAGAAGACACCAACTGCCAGGGATTGGCCCTAATTTCCCCCTCTTTCCTGATAATGTAAGATATTAAACAGCTTTATGGGATTTACTGACCTCTCAGACTATTGGAAATCCCTTAACCAGCCCATAGCTAGCACCTAGATACGGAAACCAAGGATTATTGGAGCGAAGGCAAATAAAGGGGCACAGAGCTCACTGGAGAATCCCTGACAAAACCCAGCGACTCGCAGGGCCTGGCCACGCAGGTCCCTAACACACACCTGGGATGTGCTCCCAAAGACCCGGCTTTGGCTCTATGCATCTGTCTGCAGAGCTTTCTACCACCAGAGAGAATGAATATTGGTCCCCAGGTACCTGAACTGGGCACGTGCTACACTAGGAAGGCAGCACTTCCATGCAAACACTCTGCATTCCTGGTAGAGGAGAACCAGGGCGGTTAAGACATGGTAAGAACATACTGTGACTATAGCATCAGTTCTCAAGCAGTAAAACAAAGCTATTAACCACCCGTGCTCCAACTGCTTCAGACTCAATATTTAACTTATTGCACTCCCAGGACGCTAATTAAATCATCAGCTGGTACCCTCAAATATCCTTCATTCCTCCACATGCAGAGGATAGAGGACAGCCTAATTGTGTGGCACTATATTTGTTCTAATGCTGGCAGTTTCTTATGATAGAGTCAGTATTTCTCCTTTTCAAAGGTGGATGACAAGAACCACCTTAAAAGAAACTCCAAGAAAAATGACCTTGCCCCCCAAAATATCAGACTGCAAGTATAGTTGTATTCATGAGAGGATTAGTTAGCAAAGTGACTGGCAACCGTCACTGCCACGTTGAGTAACAGCATTACAAAAGTGCCACACACACCAGTGGGACGCTTTCTTGGGCACACTGAGAGCTGCAGCATGACAGGGTTTAGGTATACTGCAAGTTGCCACAAATATAAAATAATAAATAAATAAAAAGAAGCAAAAAGAACTGTAGAAAACATGAAAAAGCAGACCAACAGTGCACTGCTTCCATATCTTCTTCCTGACCTACATCAAGAGCTACTGGGTCTACAGCTTAGTTAAAGGCACCCAGGTTAGACTGAAAGCCACCAAGAGACTAAATAATCCAACTTAATCCATGAATTTTTACTTTCAGCCCACGTCTTTATTATCCAATTCATAAAGACTCACCTTAGTCCATGGATGTGCCTTAATCTGAGGGAATTTGAATTCAGTATAGTTTGGATTCATTTCTCTAATTTGCTCCCTTGTAGGCGTCCCCAGGACCTAGAAAGAGACAAAAAAATATGTTTTCAGGCACTTCATGTTTGCAGGTTCACACGATAAGCACAGCACAACCCATTACACACAGAGGCAACTTAACTGAGATCAATCTGTACAGCCAATTAATTAACAGAGGGCCGAGAACTGAACATTTCCCCAAACTTTACTGGCCTCCAGGCTGCAATTCGGTTCATGCTCCAAGGCAAGTGTCAACAACTTCATTCTCTCAGACTTCGCCATGGAATTCATGACTCTCTCCAAGCCAGCAATACTTCAAGAGGAACGAGATTTCACTTTAATTAGAGTGTTAGAAACCAGCACTGCTGAGCACCTTCAGAGCTCCTAGCTCACTGCATATGGCTGATTAAGGATCAGCCTGTGTTTTAATAGCCATTAGCAACAGCCCCCTGATGAGCTTATTAGAAACGGACTCTTCTCATGCACATTCACAAGAAAAAAGTAGTTTAAAGCTAACCTGGAAGCACCTACAACAAACCTACACCTGCATTTTACTGTTATAAATCTGTACTCTTTGTTCTCAGAAGCTGCATGCCATCGTCTATAGGCATAAACCAGTAGTTGTGCAAGAGACAGAACACAGCTGTACATCACCTTGGAGGGGTGAAGAGGTTCTGACAGGATTCTGGAAATCCTTTCAGGGAATAAGCAGGACAATATGGCATGGGGGCTTACTGTTCAGTTGGCATTAGTCTCCAGAGCCCCATTTGATGCTACTAATTAAAAACTCCACACCAATTTCCCCAAAACCTCCCCGTTAGCAGGTTACATTTGCCTGGTGTTCCCTCACGCTATGGAGAAGGCCAGAGCACGGAGAAGGGGCTGCTCTAACCCCTTGCTAGGCAGGATGCTGTTGACTCATAACCCCCTCTGCACTGACACCATCAGAAAGCAACGTACAACATTTTGCTAGCGCTCCATCTTGTGATTTAACCACCTATTTTACTGTATATTCTGGTATCAGTGAACATTTTCACTCGCCAAGTGCCGCTCTTCAGCAAATCCACACAACTAAGAAGCTAATGCCGGGTTATCACGAAAGAAACTTGCTCCCTTGTTCTGGGATTTAAAACACGAGTCTCCTTCTGTGATTTAAAACAGGAGCTGCAAAACGGACACACAAACTAGCAACCTTGCAACCTTTTAAATATGCAGCAGGGGGGAAAAAAAAGGGAAAATGAGGAAAAGGCCTCCCAATCTCTGAGAGAAGTGTATCTTGGATAACGGAGTTCTCCCCTGATGAGTCCTACGGAACGGGCGATCAGGCAGCTGCTGCCTTCTGAGCACTGCTGAGGATTTCAACCCCAGCCACCCTAAAAACGAAGGGCTGCTGTTTAAAACTCCGGATTTTGCCCCGCTCCCAAAACTTCAGATTTGCTCAACTGACAAAAACGGGGTGTTTCGTGGGCTACCCTGCATTTTGCTGCTGTTTTTAGCGGGGAAAGTGGACTGCCAAAGTGCCCTCTCCGGGCCGGTTTTCCGGCAGGCTGCTCCGGTCCCTGGCTGGCAAGAGCAGCTCGGAGCGGTGGCCACGGCAGCGTGTTCCAAGCTTCCCACTTCTAAAACAGGCTCAACTTCACAGCCGCAAACTGCATTTGCAGCCCAGTCCAGGGCTAAAGCCCTTTCCGAAACCTCAGATGTTTTCCGGATTAAATTCCCGTCTTGAGAGAATCACAAGGCAGTTGTGCTGCTCTATCACCACTTCTCCTTACGTTCTACCATTTCCTGCGCGTAAACAGCAGTTGTTGAAAAGGCAGCACGTCTTCTTGCCCCTCCTCCCTTCCCAACTTTTGGAGCTTTGGAAGGAAACTTTTCTCCAGTAACTTTCCTAAGCAGCAGCAAAGATCGCGTTTCTCCTAGAGCCGGAATTCAGGAAACTGGCTCATTTCCCGCAGCTGCTCTGATCCAGAGTGGCCACACAGAGAAAACACCTTTCGTTAAAGGCTGCTTGTAAGACTCGGAGAAAACTGAGCACAGACAGGCAAGCAGGGCTGCACGGGAGGCCCCACAGGCAACCCACGGCTCCCAAAACACGGGGAGCTCCTCGGGAGGGGAGGGAGCGGCAGCTCCCTTGAGGCTGGAGCCCCGGGAACGAGGAAAGGGCACAAAGCTCAGGCACAAACCTCAGCTCTTGCACCCGCAAGGGCCTCCTCAGCAGCAAGACTAAGGAATGGGAGCATCTGATGCTTAAATACGAGAGCTCTTGGAGGAAACGAGCTCCCTACTTCCAAGGTCTTTTTTCTTTTTGCCCTTTCTGTGTCTTTTCCGTTCACTAAATGAAACCAAAAAGGGGCATTCTAGTAAAATGCCCCAGTTTCAGCACTGTCTCCCAGCTATCAGATGCACGGCCCATCATCTCCCCTTTTCTCAGGAAGCCCCAAACTGGGCTTCAACACCGACCCAGCCCTCCAGAGAACAAACATCCACGCTTTTGGTATTTAATATAATAGTGGAGAGCATAGAAATATCTTAGCATCGGATTACCTATCCCAAATCCTACTTTTCTTGGTAACCCTGACTTAGTGTTCTCCTTGATTTGTGCAGTGCTCTCCAGTTATGCGACATTCCCAGATGCACTGACCTGAATGTGAATGATTTCTGGGATGAGGTGGGCCTTTGAATGGGAGGCACTAGTGCTTCTCACAGGGATCAGTCATTTCCAACAGGAAAAACTTCCAGTGTGAAAAATGACCCTGAATGTAGCCAGGCCCATTTCAGGGACAAAGCCCTACACAAAGATGTAAAGGAAGGAGCTTTCCTAATTTTCCACAGAGGACAATTTTGTTAACATCACAAAGACATATTGCCCAAGAAGCAGCGTAATCAGACAGAAAGACACTTGGCAGCCCTCCTAAAAGGTGGTAGCACCGCACCTGCAAAAGAAACCAAGCTCCATAAACCATCCCAATCCAACACCATAGAAACTGCTTTAAAAATAATCACTTGCCTGTTAAAATAATCACTTGCCTGTTAAAAAGCTGAGTTGCCAGAAGCAGGCAACAGTGCTTAAGCTCTTACGAAGGCAGAGGAAGGAAGGTACAGGAGACGGATCATATTTGCTCCCAGAAAGGAGAGCTGGACCCATCAGTCATACATGCTTTGAGTGGCATAGTCACAGTGCAAATTGAAAACTGACCTACATTAATCGACCCCAGTGTATTTATGTGGTTCTCTCTAGCATGAAAAGCTTGGGTCACTGCACTCTAGGTGCTCTCACACCATGCTGAGCGCAAGCAGACTGGGACACAAATGAAGCGGAAAGAGAAGGACGTAGGAAGAAGGAATTTTAAAGAATCTAGGAGCTGTGGGATATTTAAAATAGGAGGGGAATTTCAGAGAAGCAGACAAATTCAAATCAAGATCCAGAAACAAGCATGGGGTAAGGTGGCAAGCTATGAAACTGTCTTGTACACAGGTGGAAGGCTTGGTTCTAACACTGCAGTAAGCAGTGGGTAACAAATCCGGAAGCAATGCTTGCTACCTGATTTTTATGTTTACTGCAGTGACTTACACTGAGTTTTGGGTGTATTAAGAAGGAATTCATTTGAGTAGTGAGGGGATAAACAGCTATCATACTATCACACACACACAAAAAGGACAAATCATCTCTTTTTAAAAAAGATCACATTTTACTGCTATTTCTGTTTGAAAAGCAGCAGTAAAAAGTGCAATTTATGAAACAACTGGCTCTACAAAGTCAGAAAAATACTAGGGAGCAGATGCTCCTTGGAAAAAGGTTTCTTTTTATCTTGGAAAGGTCAGAGAGCTTTGAAGAAATGGAGGAGCCAATAACTGAATTATTCAGGCCTATGCAGATTAACACATCCTATTTACTTTTGAAGAGAGCCTTTCAAAAGGTGGTAACTTCAAGGGGAAAAAATGGGTTTTGTTGTTCTTGCTTTTAAATGGACACTTAAAAAAAAAAAAAGATATGAACCAAAGCAGAATAAATCCTAGAAAAAAACGTAGCTGCAATAAAGACTAAACTCCCGAGCTAAAGAAAGGGGATTATAAGCAACTCTTGTGAGAAAAGGAACTTTGTGCAGTACATGACAAGAGGCCAGAGCTCTTCCAGCCCTGCTCTTCCATCTTTGCACAACCTCCATCACCATCATCTCTTAAATCTCTTATGGAAATAGGAAGCATTATCCAGCAAGGAATGCACTTAAGGAATACAGTTAGGAATACACTTGCTGAGAAGACACATGCTCTTTGGATTGTCGAAGCAGAAAAAAATACTCAAGGAAGGAGGTTTCATGGGTCTTTCCTGAAAAGCTTTTCCTTGGCTTTGGCCTGTAACACATAGAAGCTGCCCAGGTCATTTGGCTTCCAGGGACAACGTTCACAAAGGTGAAGTACTAGATGTATCGCCAGCAATTAAGGAAAGGCTATAGGTTTGCAATAGTCACTTCTCTAAACATAAAGGTGCCTCTGATAACCTGTTCTCTTTTGGCCAAAACATCAAAATTAGTTATAAGCATAAGAGGCCAAAGATTGCAGAACTCCTGCTGGCAGTGACTGCAGCCAGCTGTGGCGGGAACGAGGCAGTTATTTAATGAGAATCCTCCAGAAAGCTGTGGTTACACTGCTACGTGGTATTCTCCATGAAAAACCCCGCCATCAAAAACCCAAACCCCAAACTAACTGTACAAGGTCAGGAGGAACTCAGCTCCTGAAAGCCTTCCACGTGCACGACCTACCAAACAGCCTAACTACCACTTTTGAGGGCACGTCTGCACCTCTTCAGAGCTGCTCGAGGTGTTCCAAATAGTTATTTAAAAATTTCATGGTGCTGGCACCTCCAGCTGTAAACACAGGCGAGCTTTGAGATAATACTTTGAGAGGCCTGTGGCAAAAAAAAAAAAAATCTATATATTTTAGCTTTGCTTTCCTTCAAAAACACACTCCTGTCCAACAAAATGACAGCCAACTCAATACAGAGACAGCTCCCTTTGAATTTGCAGATAGCTGCGGCTGCTGCGAGCACTGCAAAGGGCCAAGTGCATTAGGCACCGGAGGAGCCGAGCTGCGACATGGGGATGCAGGGAAAATCCCTGCTGGAATGGTCCCTTTCGGAGCAAAGCGGGAGGATGTGCAGGAAAGGGAGCCCCCCAGACGCACGGCCGCTCCGGGCGGGCCCGTCTCCGGTAAGGACAAACATTCCCTCCTCCCGCCGCCTCTCCGGAAGAGCCGGCTCCTCTCTCCCCATTAACTACTCTGACTGGATTTATTTTATTTCAGAAACAGAGCCCAAAATAGTACCTTGACATTTGAGTCTGAGCCATATATTATAATTGCAGCCTATACTTAGCATTCAGCTCAGTAAAACTGTCAGAGACCAGAAAGTTACATATGGGTAGGATTCCTGATACTACAGAGCTCATGTTTTAACACCTTCCCCCCTGCCTCATTCCTAACCCAGGGAACTATAGGAAGATGGAGGTTTTTTGGTACAAAGAGCAACCATAATGTTCAGGCAGACTAAAAAATCTCCTCCATTTCCCAGCTTTGCAAGGTAGCACATCTCATACTCCAGATTGTAACAGATGGAAAAAATACTTCTGGTAAAGACGATGGCACATGCCAGGGCTGCTCAGATAACTCTGTTCCATCCTTATAACTAACTTTCCCCCGCTGTTTTCAAGGGAAGCAGGGGGAAGATATTAGGCAGAGCCTTTCAGCAGAGAAGCTTAGAAACAAAGCCACCGTGTTTCAGAGGGTCTCGTTTTGCAACAGGAAAGAAGAATTGCTCTCCATGGGAACGAGGGCTCCTCGGCACCTTGTCTTTTTGATAGCTGGTCAAAGGAGGCTTCTCCAGGCTCTTCTCACCCAGAGAAGAGAAGGCTGAGAGGGCATCTGTTCAATATGTGCAAGTACCTGGGGGGAGGATGTAGGGAGGAAAGGGCCAAGCTCTTCTTAGTGGTGGCCAGAGACAGGACAAGGGACAGTGGGTACAAGTCGAAACAGGCAGTTCCATCTCCAGGTGAGGAGGAACTTCTTCCCTGTGAGGGTGCCAGAGCCCTGGCACAGGCTGCCCAGGGAGGCTGCGGAGTCTCCTTCTCTGGAGATCTCCCAAACCCGCCTGGATGCCGCCCTGTGCCCCGTGCTCTGGGTGTCCCTGCTGGAGCAGGGGGTTGGACTGGATGATCTCTAGAGGTCCCTTCCAACCTCAACCACTCTGTGATTCTGTGATGTCACGATAGATGTCACTAGTAAATACACTTTTGGGGAGTTTCAAATAGTCAACTTCCCCTGTTCATACACTTCAGACATACAGTTTTGAGAAAGCTACCTAGAAAACACGAATCCAAGGGAGTCGCTGTATGGCAGCAGGTTGCAGGTCACGATCTGGAATTCCTACAAATTCTGCTGCTATTTGGCTGATCACTCAGCTCTATTTCTCCTACTGTCATCTAACATCACCATAAGTTTGTGCTACAATAAAAAAAAGCTTTAAATAGTAATATTCTACAGGAGCAAATGGAAGAGGTGGAGACCATCTGTCAACAAGTTTTTTAAATGAACCCCGTTCTAAACGAAAACGTAAATAACCTACTGTTTTATAACATGTGGTACTGAAGACTTATGTTTCTGGTAATTTTTATGCTGCAGAATTGGCTGTGCCTTCAACTATTGAGGTTGCAGAGACCAGGCTTTCTCAGGAGTTTGCCATTTTTATACCAACCTTTCAAATACGAGTGAAATTTAAACATCATGCTGGGTGTTGGGAGAGAACGTTTCACAATGTCTGTAAACACGTAAAAAAAATGCTCAATTATTCCTTGATTATAGCCCAGTTTTAAAGGATATTTAATAGAAGGGACGGGTCCCTGTTGACAGCTGGAAAATTCAGGATCTGGATTTTGACTTTTCTTCATCTTCAGAGGAATGAAGGAAAACAAGCAGACGTTTGGGGTAAACGTACTCTTTCCCACCGATTCCCAGTTTGGCAAGCGTGACATTCCCAGTTTGGCCAGTGTGGCACTGAAAGGAGGGCGCCTCCCCGCCCAGGTCTCACACACACCTCCTCAGGACGCTTCCTCACGGCTTTGGGCCGCCCGGCCCGCGCTCCCCTCGCGCACTTCCAGCTCCCTCTGCATTCTCACCACAGCCCCACGTCAGGGCTTTTAGGAACAGCCAAATCCACGTTTCATAACACAACGTTTGACAGGCAGCTGCACTGAAAACCAGCCCATCCATACTATTTATCTTCTGATTTTCCTTCCAATGGTGGCCCAAGAATCTAAGCTGTCTCCATAAAAAGAACAAAGGCAGGAGAACATCCACCTACCCAACCACTTCCATTTGCATTTTCCATCACACTTCCTTTGTGGATTCCTTACCCATCCTGGCTAGTGGTTATTACTTTAAAGTTTACAACATTTGTTTTTTTCAGACTTTCCTAGAACACACTATCTCATTACAGTAGCTTTCCAATTAGAGAGGGCTGGATAACTCTACAGTGGGAGTTGTCTCTACATTTAAGCTGTCTGCTTCACTTCTATGCGTGCAGGGCTAACATAACAAATGAAGATGAAAAGCCAGGAACAACACAGATTTTGATGATCAGAGTCCCTCTTTCTACACCTGAAGAAATGATTCAGACACTTGTTCCCAGCGAAACCCATGACCTCAGCTCCAGTTCTTGGAAGTTCAAGCCTTTACAGTGGAAACCCTTTTGGCTGTCACGAGACAAAGCCCCAGCTCTGCAGCAGCAGCCATTCGGTGACAAGTCCGCCCAAAACTGCCACCCATTCACGACAGTGGCATTTGAAGACTCCTCACCAGTTACACATCTATTTGCTAGTTTTTGCAACTCCACACGGTCAAAATCAATGCTAAGGCAAAAGGTTATGAATTTGTTGGTAAGGTGGCTAGAGCCTCAGATTTCTAAAGGAGCTACGAAGGGCTTGAAGGATTATCATTGTGCTACAAATAACCTTATTTACCCAAACTCTTCAAATGCATTTTCTCAGGTTTGCAGACACGAATCACTTCTCCCTTCACCAGCAAAACAGGGCAGCTGCTCGCAACAGGTCCCGAAAAAATGTGACAACACCTGTGAACTCCTGTTTTCTTTTCAGAGATAGAACAGGAGTTTTTGAGAACTTCTGAGGGCAAACACTCCAGCTCATTGAAGGATGCTTGGGGCATCAAGCACCCAGAGGTGTTTCCAGGGCCCATTTCCCACCTCACGAAAAGGGTGCAATGGAAAGAACTGCGCCATTCCAAGAGGCTTTCCAAAAGGAAAAAAAAACACTGGTGTATGCAATCATCAGTCCTTCTTCCAGCAGTCCCTATTCCTTTTCTCACGACTTCACCAGTGAGCTTTAAAGAGAGCAGGCCCAGCGGCCACAGCAGGAACCCAAGGGAGGCTGGGCAAGGGCAGGTGCAGGACGTGGAGCCTCCGCACGCCAGGAGTTGCACCGGACACCAGGGGAACTTCCAGGACACACAGCCAGGCTCCCAGTAGAACAAGTCTGAACAGGCAAAGGCTGCGGGAGATCCTGCACAGGACTAGCAAGGCTGGGCCCAGCTCCCGTGTTGAGCTCACCCCCTGGTTCAGGCCCCACGCCGCGCTGGGGAGCTCCCAGCATGGGGACACAGGTCGGGGCCGGCCAGTGCCGAGACGCAGCGCGAGGCCGGTCATGAAGAGGCCGGTCACTCGAGAACAAAAGCTTCGCTGCAGAAGCTGAACAGGAGGAGAAGACAGGAGGGAAAGACTATTTCTCTGGCACAGCAGCTACACCGAAGAGATGCTGGGGAGCCAGTTTTTACACTATGAATTACTCTGCCGCGTTTCTAATTTGAGTCACTGAATATTCACAGGTTACCAAATGAAATCAATCAAGATGAGCTGCAGCATAAGTGCTATCTCAATGTTATGTATTCTGAAATATTCGGTCTTCCTCACTTTAAAAACAGGTTATTTTAGGTGGAAGAAACTTTTTGCCCAACATTTTTAGGTCTCGATTCTCCATCCACAAAACAGGCCTGCCATTTTCCACTCTTCACCTCACAGAGCTAGAGCAGGGAAAGGGAAGGAAAACTCCATGTGTGATGTATCTGGCACAAAGAAATTTAATAAGTATTTTCATAGCCAAGTACTAATTGCAGGCAACAAAAGAAAAAAGAGATTCTTAAAGAATGAGAATCAGGCTCGTTAATAAATATTGGCTCAATATGTAAGCGCTACTTCCAAGTAGCTTGAAATTGCAACCCTGTAAGAGATTAAATCACTATACAATTAAAACATGCTATATCATTACACGTTATTGTACACAAATAAAGACCACCGGGTTCTCAAAACGCCTGAGAAGTGGTTTCTACCACAGTTTACATGCCACAAGCTCCACAAAGGTGCCTGAATAGCTGCTTTGCTAAGCTCGTGACAATGCACATTCTCATAGCATTCCCAAGAAGAAATGTAGGGATCGAAGAAGCATTTAGGATTCCATACCTTGATTATTTCCACCAACTGATCCACGCCACTGTCACCTGGAAAGATTGGTTGTCCTAGTAACAGTTCAGCCAATACACAGCCCGCTGACCACACATCTAGAAACGGAGGAAAAGAGGGGGAACAAGGGATGGTATCAGTAAAATTCATACATCAGTTATTGTCTATAGATAGCATCGTTTTTAAGCTACTTATTTCATTTCCTCGTGCATGACAAATAAAAATCAAAACCATCCTTCCTGCTTCCAGTATACCACAAACTAGAAAACACGGATTCCTGTCAGAAAGCAGTGAGCAGATGCTTCGTAAGTTAAACCACAGGAAAACGAAAACTGGAAAAAACTTTAAACATCCTAATATATTGACATTAAAATGCAAACTTATGCGGAAAGGACCAAGAATATTTACCATCTAAAAATGAATAACTTCCACAGTATCCAAAAGTGTGTTTAAAAATAAGTCATTTTAATTACTTGATTAATAAAATAAATACTTGATTAATAAAATAAAATTAAAGAAAGGAAAGCAGTCTGTATAGATTACAGACTGTGCACAGGCATCACCTACCAAAAACAAGTTGTGGTTTTGCTCTTTCAGCGCAAGCTGAATAGGCTTGGATTTTCATCCATTTATTGCACGTATGCAGATGAATCAGTACTGCAAATACTACAAGCACTGTGAAGCTCAGAATTAAGGAGTCGGGGAGACAGTCTGTGTCACTATGTCAAGGCCTAATTTTTATCCCAATTCCATCTGCAAAGGCGGCTGGATCATGGCTCTGCTAGGCACAGACCAGGGCATAGCTCAACAGCGCCCATACTAGATGTCACCAACTAACTTTGGCACGTGTATTAAAAGCCACAACTAGTCACTAGCAGTTACACACTGAATGCAAAGGAAGAACATAAGAAAGCAGACACAGTAGTACACGGCAGGCTGTGCAAATGTGCTCCAGGTGGGCATCAAATACTGGAGTATAAGTTGCTTGACGCACTAAAGGAATTGCATCAAGCTGCAAAGAGAACTTCTCCTCCGAAGCACAGGTTGATTATAAAGTTCTCTAGAAAGTCGTAATTTATTCGGTGCAAATCTGAAATCTTATACAAAATCACTCTCAAAAACTCAACGAATAACAGGAGACCTGGAGAATTTATAACACTAATGGCCTGAAAGGAGAAAATGAACAAATAGACTCCCCTCCTCTCAATTTACTTCAGCTCCTGCCTACTCCAATAAGCTAAGTTACCCCCAGGAAACAAAAAGGAAACTCAAAATCCAGAAAAATTATTTACTGAGGTCCCTTCCAACCCAAGTTACTCCTTGTTATGACAAAAATCATTATTTTCCTAGTGCATTTAAACAATGTCATTGAGAAGCAGAACACACACAAAGCGTGTGACAAGAATAGACATGAATGGTCTCTTAACAGCATATAAATTATCACGTTGTCACATCAGCCAGAGACTGGCATAAACATAAAAACAGCCTCCAGGAACTTCCCAGGTTGCTGATAAAATAATCTGCAAGTTGGAACAGACTTTTCCCCCATTCCTCAATTAAAAAGGCATGGGAGCAATGCAAAGATACTGCAGCTTTCCAAATCATGCATCCCCAAGGCAAGTGGATGCATTTTTACTAACCCTCTCAGTACAGACATCATACACAAATGAAAGGTGACCATTAAAAACACGAACTCAAGCCTAGTTCTAGTTGCCAGATGTTATTGCCAGCAAGATAATGTAGACCTCACCTTTTTATGTCACCCCATACGTACCGAGAGCCTGTCAAATAACTACCCGGTTTTATAGAAAAACACAGAACAGCTCAAGAGATAGCAGGGATGTCCCCCGAAGTATTAAAGAAATGGATTAAGTGTACTAAAGGGTCAGAGCACTGTAATTTAAAAGCCTCCCTAACAGCCCCTCAAAAGGTTTAGAAAAAGCAGAGTCCTTTACCCCAATTACCCCAAACAAGGGACGCCCGAGGGCTACAACCATTACCGACAACCTACACCCTTATTTAGCACAGAAAGAAAAAACAGCGCATGGGAAGGGAAAATTACGTGGCAGGACATGCCTAGAACTGCAGGTGACCCTCTGGCGAGCTGGCATTTAGGGACTGCTCCCCACACAGGCTCGGAAAGGGCGCGGGCCTTAGCGTGGCGCGCGAGGCCTCCAGGCCGCGGGGCGGCTGCGACACCCGCTGCCCCGCGCTCGGCTCCATGGAAAAAGGCAGCGGAGAAGCCGAGGGCGCCGCAGCCACCGTGTGGGGCAAGGATCCGGCTGCAGAGGCCTCGGCCGCACCTGCCCCCTTAGCCCGGCACGGAGGCGGCAGCAGAGGCGGCAATGGTCCCTCGGGAAGGCCCGCGCGGATCCCGCTGCGGCCAGGCCTTCCGAGCAGCCCATCCAACGCCTTAGGAAAAGCCCCTTCCCCTTTCTGCATTTCATTTGCTTTGCGTTAATCCCCCTCCTCGCACACAGGCGTGCTGAAGGGAGAGAATTCCAGAGACCGTCTGGAATCCGCGTTTTCTTCCAGGAATGTCATGGCGTGGATTTCCAAATTAGGCCTCGGGCAGTATTCCCGGCTCCAGGAAGTGAGCACAGCTCGGAAGCATTCCCGCTCAACGCCAGGGATCTCACGCCGACTTCAGCAGCTCCACGCAGGGAGAGCAATGGAGCAAGGATCACACAGGGAGAAAAGCACACTAAGGAAGATGCGGGAGAACCTCAGCTCTGCTCCAACGCCAAGGATTTTTCAAGGTTGCCTTTCAGCAGGAATAAAATTTGACCCCATGGTAGCTGGATTTTTTTCCTTTTGAATGTTTTTTTTTTTGAAATTTATGTTTTGAATTCAGATGATATATTTTTTTTCCTCAATCCTAAAGTAAACACTGTACTAAATTCTGTATTTAAAGACATGTTACTTCAGAGAAATGCAGGAGTTTTTGATAGCTCCTATCAGACCATTTTTCTGCCTGAGCACATCATCGCTGCTCTCAATTACAGTTTAATAACCTTTCAGAGCAAGTTTGCAGCAGATCTACCTACTCCCATGGGAGAAGAAACGTTTTCCATACTGCTCCTTTCTCACATGAGCCATTTAATTAAGGCAAAATTACCCTTGTCATTCAAATACTTTAAACTGGTTGATAAACAGGACAAAACGGGACCTTAACAGAGAAAAAGCATCAAAATAACACATTATCCCTATGCCAAAATAGTTGGGCAATGAGAAGTTTAAAGAGAAAAGAATGAGGACTATTTATTTCATGTAGGAGAGAGCGAGTAAGGTTCACTCCTTCAGACCAACGCAGCAATATGGACAGGAAATGTAACTACCTGCCAAAAGCCAAATTTCTACCCAAGTATTTCAGAGAGCCTTCACAAATAGTAACAGTAGCTAAAGCTGTACCTTTTATAGACTAAAGGGAAAGGAAACACTCAAGAGAAATAGCTCTATCATGTGAACTACCTGAACTTACTTAAGCACACACCAACTCTTATGTTCCAAAACGCAAGATTTCCATTTCTTAATGCAAGTTTCTAGGCCTTTATTGTTCTTCATGGCTGCTGGGTAGGCATTAGCCTCTCCAGCGAACTCATCTGAATAACTCCCCAGCTTCTGAAGGCAATTGCAGCATTACAGAAATAAAAAGAAATTTATTTTTGTGCTGTAACGAGCCTCCAGTGTGACAAGGTGCAAAATACACTTCCTAGCTTCACTGTACAAGGGGACAACTGGGGTCTCTGACAGGGGCTGGCTCTGACACGGGACCCTATCCACAAGCCTCCTCGTTCAGATCTCCAGACCTTCCTGCCAAACCTGAAACTTCCCTTCAGCTGGCATTTCATGGCAGCACATCCACCTTGGTGCATTTGTTCTTCCTCATCTAGTCCTCTCTACCCCACCATGCCTCATCCCAAGCTCATGGGCTTGCTCCATCTCGTGTTGGACGGAAAGCCGCTCTTCTGCAAACAGATTTCTTGAATGAACAAGCAGGGAAGAAATGAAGAACAGAGCGAGAGAACAGACTTGGGAAGTGGTCAAGCCAGCAGCTCGGAGCTGCCAAATGCCACAAAACGCTCTTTGGTTGCTATTTATTTAGAACAGGCCTTGGAATGTTAAGCCGCGACCACTGGCACACGTGCCATCCCGAGGAGAGCTTTGCACCTCCATCTGCATCAGGTTATATGGGGCAGAACAAGGTTGAAAACTAAAGTGCCTGGGAAGTCGTCAGGAGCACAGGTTAAACAGATACCCCCATTCTCTGCGGTAAGGAAACTGCCCTGGCTGGTTACAGAGGTAGCCTGACCACCCCTGCCCCCCGAGGAAAGCCTCCTCGGAGCCCTGTCCCTCGGAAAGCCGACGGGTGACACTGTGACCCTGATGTGGGGCCAGCCCGGCAGCAGCCAGCCACAGTGCCCACTGTCCCCATCCATCTTTTCCCACCCGCAGCTCCGGATGTTCCCGCTGGGACGTCCTCCACGGCCCTGCTCACCCAGCACCTCCTGCCTGGCCCTCCCGAAGGAAAGGGCAGCTGCACCCGGGAAAGGGTCACCCTCCAGGTGCTTCTTCCACAGCCCAACCCCACACGGGTGGCATCCGCCTGCCCCACCGCCTGTCCCGGGGGAACGTGGGCAGCAACCCCATAGGCTTCCAGCAGTGACAAGCTGGAGGCGGTGGGGCGACATACCGGCTGCAGCCTGGAAGCTGACAGCTTCCCACCCATCTGGCAGCAGTGGTTACTAAAAACTCAAGGAGGTCATTTCCCTGGTAGTTATTTTACTAATACCAGGCCTGCTGGAGCAGTAGAATCACAGAATCATGGAATCCTGAAGGCTGGAAGGCACCTCTAGGGATCATCTAGTCCAACCTCCCTGCTCCAGCAGGGACACCCAGAGCACAGGGCGGCATCCAGGCGGGTTTGGGAGATCTCCAGAGAAGGAGACTCCACAGCCTCCCTGGGCAGCCTGTGCCAGGGCTCTGCCACCCTCACTGTTAAGAAATTCTGCCTTAAGTTCCTATGGAACTTTTAGTGCCTCAGCTTGTGGTCGTTTCCTCTAGTTCTATCAGTGGACACCACCGAAAAGAGGCCGCCCCCTCCTCCTCCCTGCCTCCCTTGAGGTATGTGTAGACACTGATCAGGTCCCCCCTCAGCCTCAGTAGATGTCCTTGGATGTTACCCTCTCATACTTCACGCAGACCAGTGCAATCAGGCACATAAACACACACAGGCACCAAACTGTAAGGAGCACAATGCCCAGCTGTGGCTTATTTTTAAATGACAATCCGAAGGCTCCCCAAAGTCAGAAACTTTGATAAAATAAAGCAAGAGCCCAGGAATCAGGAGCTGGAATATACTTCTATTGCAACAACCCAAACCAATCTCGGAACCCATTTCAGCTTCTGCCCCACTAGGCCCACACCGTGTCAAGACGGCACGTTCCTGTGCTGAAGTACAAACTAGAGGCAGCCAGGCACACGGACACCATTCCCGAGTACAGTGCTAAATCTCACGGAATGGTCCTGGTAAGTGCTGCCTCCACTGCCAGCCTTGGGTCCCCATGGTGTCAATGTGCATTTTCACACACAGCTCTACATGCAAGACCACATAACAGGTTTAAAAAGCACTTCTTGATCACAAATACATCTAATGATTACTATAACGCACTACTGTTACAATCACGATCCCAGCGGGATGGTAGAGCATAAAACAATCCAAAAAATTACTGGAGACTTTTTTTTGGCTCCATACTCTTCATCTCTTGTTTCTAATGTAATTTTAAGATGGTGGCTTTAAACAGAAGAGCTAAGATTCTTACACCAGGCTTAAAGTCAGCTTTTGTCCCAACCCTTGCACACAATCTTTACCTACAGAACAGGGAAAGACCATACAGCCAGAGGAGACTGTTGTACTGTGTTTCCTTGGGAAGATGCAACTAAAAAAAGGGAGGCGTGTCTACATTAAAAAGGGGTAAATAAAGTGCAGTATTAACGTACTGAGGCACTTCCTCGTTTCCTATACCTTGAGTTATGGATGAACTAATGATAAGTACATTTTATTTTCTTCATTCATGTGTTTTTTTTTGTTTTTTTTTTTAAAGGCAACACATTCCTGCTTGTTAGCTGGAATACAAATCACGTCACTGGGTATACAAATGATACTGGTCCCGTTTGGATGATTAAGCTTCCTACGTCAGGGAAACAGGGTAGAGTTCCTACGTGCTGTTGCCACTCACCTTGCAAGAGCTAGGGAATAACCATAACTCCTAAGAGTTAGGTTAAGAACTGCACAAAACAAAACCACCTCCCTAGAATATGCAATACATTACCTAATACTGATAAAACTGCAGAGCAGGTTTGTAGAGTACTTTATTACTCTTCTGTTAGGAAGAGAAAGCAGACAGCAAAGGGTAGCATGGCAGGGGTGTGTTTAATAAACTTAGGGAAGGAGGTTGGGCAGAGGGGGGCTTTTTTGCACATGAGGATGTTTGAACTGCAGCTGGTCCTGCTTGGCTAGCAAGCAGAAAGAGGGTTCCTCTCTTCATAATGATACTTTTATTGCATCTGTTTTAGGGGAAGAGTAATAAGAAAACAAAATGGAAAGGGCACCTTATCACCGTTTCCGCCAAGTGCATGAGATTAAAGTCATTAGTACACCCCTAGAGGAAGAGACGCTTCCCAGGCTTATCCACAAGGCTGTCCCATTGGCGCCGCTGCCAGCACACGCTCACCGGGTACCCCTCCGAAGTCAGCGGGGTCCACAGGTGCCCAGGTAACCCCCCTCCAGGCCCATCTCCAGGCCCTCAGCTGGTGCCTTCCTCCTGCTTCCGAGCGCGGCCGCTTCGGTTTTGCCCGGTGCTCACGGGACGCCCGGTATCGGGATTCAGCTCGCTACCTCACCCAGGGCCAACCCGACCCACGGAAGGTCCCTCGGCCTCTGAAGCTGCGTCGGGATATGGAGGAGTGAAGTGAGAGAGCTGCTGCAAGGGACAGAATGGGACCTGGTGTCCGGGGCGAGAAGGAATAGGCTTGGGGCTGACATTTAGGGTGGTGGCCAACGATTAAATAAGCCCTTATCACTACATTACCATTACCTTCCCCCTGTTTACTGGAGTCCTGACTCTTCTTTCACACAAGGCAGGAGACAGTTGGTACATTACTTATTGGAAAGTAACAACTGGAAAGTAGTAAGTGTACTAAAATAACTATCGAGTAATTACTGGAAAAGAATCAGCAAGAGGAAGTAAGTCTTCAGAACTGAAGAGTCAAAGCGAGTTAGCCAACAAACAAACTAAGCACTTGTCAGAAGGCCAATATGCTCAGTGGCATTGAAGCAAACTGCAACAGGTTACAAACACACTTGTGCTCTTCTGAGACTTGATCACGACCTCCAAACCCTCCTGACCATGTTTTGGAGCTCACCTAAGTTACTGCAGCCCATGAGCAATGTAAGAGTTTAGTGCTACAGTGAGGCACGAGAGAGTCAAGTCTCAGGCTCTTATGTAGCAGCCTTCAAAAAGAGCCCCTGGAAACAGCAGAAGTTGCAACAAGCCAACTCATTGCTCTGCCTCTGCAGAAGTCTTCTATAGCTCCCCAGCACCAAACCCCTGCATTTAGCTACCCAAATGTGCAGCTTCCCTAACTCCGTGATGCAGCTATGTACACATACTAAAAAGATGTCTTAATGATGTTGAAGACTAATGACAAAAGTTGGACAAAAATGACAAATGATAAAAGAACAAATAAATATCCAAGAACCACTGTACAGAATATTAACATTTTCAGGAGAGCTTAAAGCCAATCCTCAGGCCTCATTTTCCTTCTCACTAAAAACACCTACTAAAAGACAAGTAAACAAGTGACAAAATTACTCGGGTCTAAATGATGACAGATCACACACGGTGTCAAGAGCTGGTATTTCCACAGTCCTACTTTAGAGTTATTTTAAGCCAACAAAATACTTGCTAGTTTGAGTTCTCATATCTCCCCTTACATTAAATTGCAAAATTACCTAGAGAGTTGGAAAAATGGTTTGAGGCCACATTTCCCCCAGGTTAGGACATGTGCCCTGTCTTTCCTATTCCTATTGATATTAAAATCTGAAAAGGTATTGAGACTACAGCCTATAAAATGTGTGTACTTTATGATCATCTACAGTAAACCTCTGCTCACGGGGATAATATCCAAGACCTCTGGAAGCATTTTCAACAAATACACATACATACCTATACTGGAGGTATAATCGGTGGCTCCAAAGATCAACTCTGGTGCCCTGTAGTACCGAGAGCAGATGTACGAGACATTGGGTTCTCCACGAACCAGCTGTTTTGCACTGAAGAGAAAGCAGAGGAATTTCTTTCAGGAAAGGAAGGCTTTACAATATTTCAGTGCAGGCCTATATTAAGCTTTAGTGCACCTTCCTCACCCCTCAGTCCCCAAATGCTTAAAATACTGTGCGTTTCTAAGCTGATGTAAGGCACAGACTTGGGCCTTGTGTTTGATTCACAGCAAAATTAGCCCAGCCCACCCAAGCAACTTCCTCAAACTGGACACAGCAGAAGAAATGCTGACGACAACCTAGAGGATAAATAGGGCTGAGTTTCTGGCTGGCAGTTGCCTAATAAAGCTTTGATAGGTACAAAGATCTGTTTACACAGAGGAGGACAGAATACAGTCCAGTCAAATGCAGTTACCTTTTGAAGTTCAAAAGCCCTGGGCAGTCACCAGAACCAGCCTCTCAGCTTTCCCTACAGCTTTTCCATATGGGAACTACAGGCAACACACACAGGTTTTTAACAAGGAGGAGGAAAATCACCTATTCACCTTTGGTCTGCAAAGTTCGAGCTCAAACCTCAAGACTGAAATTCACCCCAAAGAAAAAAAAGTTTCTTGCTGCTGCATGGATTTCCACAACCTTTCTACCAGTTACTTCTCTTATATGTAGGTGTGGACTCCATGTGTGTCTCGCTTGAGCGGGTATTGCAAAAAATGTGCTGCTGGAAGCTGAGCTTCAAGTAGAAGCCCTGCTTCTGATCTTGAGCCACTGAAGTATTTGAGCTATTAGATGAACTGTGCATACAAGTACATACAAGCAGACTGAAGCTGAACGTTAGCCCCATACGTATTTCACTCTGTGTAACTGCAGGGTGAAACCCACAGGTATTTCACTGTTTGAATGTGACTGCCTTTTTCCCCTAGCATAGTATTTTCCCTATGCAATGGGGTGTTTTTCTAAACACGTGAACAAACTTTCAGGTCTCTTCCTTTTGATACCCCTTTCCAGCTGTTTATTCATATTAAATCATTTCATAAGGAAAATAGAAAGCATCCATAAGTTCCCTTTCAAAACTATAAATGATTAACTCTGCAGGAATGTAGAGGGTTTCTTCACAAAATTTCACCATGGCTCCCTTTAAAGGAAGCAGTTTTACCAGTCTCCAGTCCCTGGAGACGCACTTACCTTCCAAAGTCACAGAGTTTTAGAACAGCTGTGTCAGGGTCCAGCAAGAGGTTCTGTGGTTTTATATCCCGGTGGCAGATTCCAAAGGAATGGATATAGGCTAAACTCCGGAACAGCTGATACATGTACAACTGCAACACAAAAATATGGCATAATACAGCTTTCCCAGGCAAAATAAGAGAAAATAGTAATTCATTACAAATCTGTATTAGAAAACAGGAAAGAACAAATGAACAGACAGACTTAGCCCACAGAAAAGACGACGACTCTAACCCAGTTTAAGACAGTGCAGTGCAGACACAGAAGGCCGAGGAACCGGCCTCCTTCTTTGCCCCCCGCCTTTGCCACATGCCCATGCCTGTATGTCAAATCAGGCTTTTTGTCTTTTCAAAAACAAACACTTTATCCAAAACCCAAGTGCGACACCTGTGCGACCTCATCCACACAGAGCACAACGAACACCGAGCCAGAGCAAGGCGTCGTGTTCTGGAAACTGCTATTAAACTAGAAAACAGGCACCCAACCCTGATGAACACCTTGATGACCGCAAGCTCCACTGGTAAGGGAGCTTGGTTCACAGGGAAACAGGTAATACCATAACAGGATAAAAAGAGGGATGCCCCACACCGGGAAAGGCCTCCTTCATCCTCCCGATGAAGTGACCTGAGCTAGAGCCCCCTCGGTTCGGCAGCCTGACGGCACCCGAGCAGCACTAGGAGACACTGGGACTTGGTCGGACCACTGATGGCAGAACAAGACACACTTGCCTCTCCCGCAGCTGCAGAATAGAAACGAAGCACTCCAGGCAGCCTGCGGCAACTCAAGCGCTTCACTTCATTTTTATTAACACTACATTAAAAGTTGCCCGCAGAATACAGTAGTCTCCTAGCTAGTCACTTAGGTGAATCTCTGATTAATGTTATATAATTGTCAAGGCTGACCCCAGGCAGCCAGGTGGCTGTTCCTCTGTGCCCCGTGCCCCACTCGAACCCAAATGACAGGCAGGACACACGAGGGTGCTGCTCCAGCCCTGCACTCTCCCCAGCTCACCCTCACAGGTCTGCGATGCGGGGTGCTACTGCTAGATACTGCTATCAGGCCACACTCACCTTCCTCGCCCAACTATCTGTCTTTCCCTTCTCTCCTTCCCTGCCTTTCTCTGGGGCGTGGGGAAGGCGTGAGGGGGAGGCAGCCCATTGTAACTCCGAAGCTTTCACTTGTTCTATTTGTTTCCCAACACGAAAACTCTAAGGAAGGATAAGCAAACGAACTCCTGCGAATAGGACGATGACTACGAGAGCTCCCTCGTCATTCCATAGCCGCTTCTGTTTTCCAGGGAAAGGAGCTGTCTGCCTGGCTAGGTCTAGGCAGCAGGCACAGGTGAACAAAGAGGTATAACCTGACCTTCGAGCAGCCAAGAGGTTGGGAAAATGCCAAAGCTTTAGGAACATCAAGGTTACGGCATCTCTTTTTAAATGTAAGATAAGGAAAAAGGCCTGCCTTATCAGAGGAGCAATATAAAACCAGCCTTTTGGATTGCCCGCAATGGCAGGTTACAAGTAGCTAATAGGATGAAAGAACTGAGGCAGTGCACAGCCGTGAGACCAGCAGCACAGGGAAAAGATTTATATATCATTTATTAAATGCTAAGCTGACAAGCAACTTGTGGGGATCATCCAAGCTAAAGCCATGCTTAGCTTGGTTGCATCGACAGGCAAAAATGAGCAATCTTGTAGTGGAGTTTTTTACTGCTAGATGATGAGACTCTCTGTCTTCTCACAAACTAGCGATATCCTGACTATTGCCAAGGCCCACCATTTCCAACGTGTGTGGCTATGGTTCTGGTATAGTGCTTTGCTACTGGAACAACTGTTTTTGTAGCTTCCACCTTCTTTAAATTGGCTAAGAGCTTTCCCTTAAACCTACCCTGCTGTGAAGCACTGCATATTTGCAGATGGGTCTGGGGAAATCAATACGAACCAGAAATGTTTGCTGCAAACATCTGTGTAACCTTCTTTGGCTAAAGACACAAAATGTTTGTGGGGGAGCTTTTTATCACAAACAAGTTAGAGCCACGTTAACAACAGGATCACTCCCTAGCACGTGGATGTGGCTTGTGTTTGCCACAATATGCAAAATGGGATAGGAGATGCAGCTCCACAAGCCAGGACTGTGGCAGTTGTAACCACTTTGGAAAGTTTTGTCTAAAAAATGGGAAAAAAAAATTGTAAAAAAAATTTGTAAAAAAAATGGTAACATTTTGTAAAATTTTGACAGAAGCTGCCAACAACTGTAAAGGGAGACCTGGAGACCATCAGTGCAGCATTCTGACCTCGTGTAGCTCTCTGAGAAAAGAGCAGTAAAGCCAAGGTGCTCCAAAGGCAGGGAAGGAGCCAGTACCGTGGCTTTCACACCCCTGAACAACTCTTACTCACATGCCAGGAAAGGGGGCTGACACGTACAGGGGCACAGAACCCTTTGCAAGGGCCTCTGTGATTCCTCACCTCTGCATGACTGCGTCTTCTCCGGGGGAAGCTGTGAAAGTGGCCAGTGGCAGTTCCTATCTCGGCTGCTTTAAGACAAGCCCTCTGCTCAATCCCCTACCTCCCACCTTCTGGAGATTTTTTGGAAAGTGAGAAAATCAGGAGCACTGAAATTTAGGTTCCTCGCCTTTATTCTTGCTCCAGCCCAGCAAACAACCATTTCAATATTTCAATTTTTTTTTTTTTTTTTTTTTGCTTGCCTCAAGGCACAGGAATTCCTAGGAATTTCAGAAAACTAATTACATGCCTCAGAAGTATCCAGAAAGTCCATTCCTATAATTTCCTCCTTCATCCAACCACATCTATCAGTGACTTACCTTGACATAAATCATAGGGAGTGTCTGTTTGGCCCGACTATAATGTCTGGCAACTCTGTATACTGTTTCAGGAACATAGTCCAGCACCAAGTTGAGGTACACCTCATCTTTCTGGAAGGGAACAAAGGAGAAGAGAAAACATTAGTGGGACCATTTGAAGTCAGAAACAACAGAACAACAACAAAAGCATTCAGAGAAACTGATAGCTTGAGATAGGGGTGTCACTGTTAGGGTGCCTTTTTAATTTGTTTCAATTCTGTGTCTTTAATAGGACTGCGAACTATCACCAAACCTTTTTTTTTTTTTTTCCCCCCTTCAAGCTTAGCACTTGTGAACAAGTCAAACTTAGGTATAAGGTCACATTAATTAGCACACTCTCCTCCTTGAAGCCTTTTCTCATTGTAAAGGCAGGCAAGGATACAGCTGCTCTGCTCGTTGATTCGATATTCTCATTAGGAGGCACTTCACAGTGATACCTTCATCATCAAGGTGTCTATTGACCCGTCGCCTCCTCCGTGGCCAAAACTCAAAGTGCAAATTTGAGGCTCCCAGATTCACTCTTGCAACAACACAACAAAACCCCCCTGCACCTTTTCGAAAGGTTACTTTGGTCTGGCTGAATTCCTAACTCTCTTAAGAGAGACTAATAACCCGTATTAATCATTCTTAGATAAAAACCTAGTGTTAATATTTGTAACTGTCCTGCTTAACAAGCATTTTGACATCCAGGCTCACTTGACTGAAAATATATGAACATATTCATGGTAAAGAAATATACTATAAAAGTCATATTCAATCTATGTATTTAAACTTGAAAATCAGGCGAGAGGTCTGTGAGACAGAAACCAAGGAAGTAGCTTTCTAAGAAGGTACTTTGCTCCCCTAAATTATTCTGTAACAGAGGAATGAAGTGACACAGTACTATAACCATAGGGTCTAACTATGGACTTGATAATTTACAGCAGTAAAACTAGTCTTAAAAAGGACTTCTGATATTTCAATGCATTCTTCAGTGCTAAGTGTCAGAACTGCAAACACTTTTAATTATGGCCCCCCAAAATACTAATTATACTCACTTGAAAGCTTACTTTTGAAAGTGAGGAGAATTAAACAGAATTAATCTCTTCTGTGCTTGCTGTATTAAACCCTACACCTTGCTACTCAGGCAGATGATATGCAGAGACTTTATATGGGTGAAAATTGTAGAGATCTCCAAAGTCTGCAGTGAAGTCTCCTGTCTGCAGGTCTGCTGACTATGGATCTTAATACCTCTAAACTGGAGCACAACTATCACTGAGCTGCAGTGATTTAATAACAATGTCACTGTGTCTTAATTAGCCAGGTGGAACACAGTCTGGAGGGCTGCTCTCACCTCTTTCTCTATTATTTAACCTGCCTCTGCACCATCTGAGCAAACAGGAACTTCCAAGGCATAAAGAATTAACATACACACACCCCCCTCATATAGGCAACATGCAAAGAACCTCTGCTTTTCATGTTCTTGACTCAGAAGTTCAAGGTTTATATCCAGCATAATTGCACGTTCTGGATGTTTTAACAGCTCTTACCAACACCTCCCAGGAGGCCAAGACACCTTGAACTCTGCTGTCTGCATCAAGGCCCCAAGGCCCTTTTTAGACCATAGACCTAAAGAGTATCAGCTTCAGCGAGGCCCAGTGGTAGCCCCAGAACAGGTCTAGTGCTAACAAAACTGGGGAAGCCCATGACAAGGTGGCAAAGAGGCTTTTGGAAAGAAGCCAGCAAAGACAAACACCAGCAGCACACTGAAAGGCTACAGAATGGCAGGTATGTGCATGTATATGTGTGTATACCTGTCTTCTATATACGTATGAACTTCGCTGCCTTCCCTTCAACAACAGCAACTCTTGTCCCCCTGATTCTTGCAGTAAGGCAAATAAAAATCCACCACCACCTCTATTTAGCTCAGATATCTTTATATATTATCATCAATATCAGTAGGTCACAAAAACTCCAAGTTAACTTATGCCTGATAAGGCAGCCTGCATCCCAAGACAGCAAACATTCCCATGAATGGAAACTCCATTTGATTCAGGACGGACCCAGCCTGAGCAATATGCTGCTGTATTGGGTCTCTTGGGGAATCAGTGTCCTACTGGCAGCAAGAGGCAGTGCAAAATACCCTACTAGGGAGACCCAGTACTTTCATTCAGAGGATGCGAGTTCACAGTGACCAGGGAGATTCACATGAGAGATGAAACAGCAAGAAACGGGTGGAAATGGATGGAATTCTGTTGCCTTCATTATTCTCCCGCAGCACAAGTAGGAGACGTGTAAAACACACAGTCTTTAAATTAAACCCTTTCTACGCTACTCCACAACAGGGACACGTGAGAGTCTAAGAACACCATTTAGTTCACACCACTGCATGTGATTTGCTTTTCTCTCCTCCACTGTGACTTCTGCTCCCTGCTCTACCGGGACTGGGGTTACTTCAGTGGCACTAAATGACACGGACACGAGACATCCAAGGCACCGGGGCGCAGAGACGGAGCTCGGTGCCCCCCCGTCCTTGGGCGTTTCAGTGCTCGCTGCACCACCCCACGGGGCGACGCTGCTGCTCCTAAGCCTGGGAGCACCGAGGAGCGCCTAGGCCCAGCCAAGGAGCATCAACGCCTACCTCTCCCCAGGCAGCTCCTGCTGACACCCGACGCAAAGCCGCTGAACACACGGACTGCTGTTTTCCAGACACCTCACCCTTCCCTCACCCATGTGCGCCTGATCCCCAGTAACACCTGCAAGCTACGTGGATTCCCCTCGCGGCGCCGCAGCCAGAGCCAGAAGGCAGCCCTGTGGGGCAGGCTCCGAGCACGGCGCGACCCCTTCATCCACCGTCTTCCCCAGCACTCGCTTTCCCAGCGACCCAAATGCCAAGGAGCTTTCCCAGCAACCCAAATGCCTTACGCCAGGGAGCGGGGATGGCTCAGAGAGCCTGCCAAGTGAGGACAACTGCTTGAGGATCATGTGAGAACATCAAGGCTTATCTTTCCATGACAGGAAGCCTTTTTCAGCCCTCACAGATTCCACATGTGACCTATTTCCACACTGCTATTTCAAAATCTCTGGGCTGGGAACCAACCAAGGTAACCTAACAGCCAGGGCTGAGTCTGAAACAGTTTTACACAGCAAGGCCCACAGGAAACTGCATCATATAAATGGGTGAGAGCAAACGCAAGATAGGATCAAATAACGCACTCTTCGTTATAGTCAGAGGGATTGAACAAATTATTAGCCTTCCTCCTCAGGTCAAACGTTTAAGTGCATCCATTTTCCTATACTTGCCACTCCAGCTATACCCATTAAGATTAAAGGGCAGAATGCCGGACGCCAGTCAGAACCCAAGCACAGCACCCCTGCGCTTCAATAGGGCCCTGATGTGAGAGGGCACCAGCTCGCTCACCTGCCCTTGCCTCAAGCACTAGAAGCTGCTCCCTGTCACCCGGTGGAGAAATGCTCACTTGGCGGGATCTGCTTCCCAACATCCAAACGAGCCACAGCGAAACAACAGGGGCCTTAACGGCTGAACCAGCTGATACCATTCGGGAACTGCTCAGGAACCACCAACTCGGGCACCATCTTCAGTTTTTTGGTAGCTTAACTTCTTTCTTTTTTATTGTTTTGTGTTGGGAATCAGAGATTGAACAGGCTGCAAAAGGTTCTGAGACCAGTGACTAGCGGATAACCATCCTCTGGGAAAGGATGCTGAGCTGATGCTGAGCTTGCTTCCTGCAGTTCTCTCTCTCCTACCAGCTCAGGAGCAGCATGGTGACAGCAATGAGTTTTGCAATTAAAAATAATCATCATCATTAAAACATAATCATCATCATCATCATAATTAGAACCCAGCTCATTCCCCCGAATGGGTCTGAGAAACTCCAGGTGAGCAGGTCTGTGAGCAGCACTGAGGGCAATAACCACACACAGGAGTTTCTTACAACAACTTTGCATTCAAATACTTGAGGACAGAAGGGCACCCTGAAGTTATTCACCTCATCCTTCTATTCAGGCTAACAGCGCTCAGACTAGCGATAATCTAGAGTAAAGGCATATTCATTCCTAAAGAATGTGCTTCCCTTTTCCAAATTATCCAACAGCACCCTCAGTCCCGGGGCTATATGAGGTGAACGGTCATGCTATCGCTGACAGCCTACTAGGTATGTCAGGCCCGGCTCAAAGAGTGATTGCTAAAGCATTTAAGGTGGATTTGGAGAACCAATCCCATGGAATCCCAGCCCACTGAAGCCTTTCACCTGGATTTGGCCTCCTCTCCAGTGGCCCTGTTTTAACCTCCAGCACCAGCATTTGGGACCCTGTGCCTCTTGCACTCATTAGCCACCTAGATTTGGCCAACACGCCAGTCCAAAGTCACTGTCTTTGCTCTAGAGCCAAGGAAGGGGCTGTTTCACTTTCTCTACTTGGGGCTATTCGCTGCATGTATTTTGTACCTTCTTATCAAGCACCAGCAAGAGACCCACCCTCCTCCTCTTATCTTGAAGGCCGGCACTGTACTTTAAAGATACAAAGACTTTCGAACTGCTTTGAAGACAAAGCAAGAACTTGCAGCCTTCCTACTCATACTACTTAGCAGCCACCACACAATAGAAAAACCTGAGAATGCAAAAACAAAAACAACAACAACAAAAAAAAAAAAAAAAAAAAAAAAAAAGTTGCAGCTGACCTTTCTTGAATGAAGGAATGGTGACATCCAGTGGCCACACGTGCCTGTTTTTGCTTGCATTTTACAGCCACGGCTATTTCAAAACAGAAGGGTGGCTACCAGCAAAAGAAAGGGTGGGTATGGGATGTACAACTGCAATTTTGCACGGAGCTTATGGGCCTAACAGGAGTCAACGAATCAACTTTAAGTGACATTTAAACCTTCCGGAAAGACAGGAATATATGCTATTAGTACTGCAAATATTGGGTAGAAGTTCCTTCCCTCAGTTCCCCAGGGCTGAATTCCAGAAATTCCAGCTGTCCCAAGCCTCGTTTTCCTCTGCTGACCAGACAAGAGGTCCCAAACTGCAGTGTAAGGCCTGCTGCTCCTCTGCAGGGTGCAGCAGGAACTGCCC